GTAGTAAGACACTGAATGACATAACACATTTTTATAAGCCCCAAGTGCATGCCAGTTGGGAAAGTGAAGACTGAGATAGTAGGCGGATCCTTAGAAGAACATCCCAAATAATGTATCTTGGATGGGGGTGGGGTGATGGGATGTCTCAGGATAGATATATGTTTTTCCCTTTGAACTTGGAGAGTGACACCACTGAATTAGAGACGGAGCAAAGGACTCCTCAGGAATAACTAAAGGAATTTGGACCTTCGCCTTACTTAGTAATACAGTCTGCCTCCTGAGTTGGTATGGGATTCATACTTGTTCGCGTCCTGCTCCGTCAGTTCCTGTGATTTGCTGTTGGAGACCTTACTGTAAAAACAGAAGCATCTGACTGCTTGATGTGAAATCTTCGATCATGCTACAGGCATTTTCTTTCCAAAGCTGTGTCTTTGTCCCATCATTGTGAGCCAGCAATTCCTTTTTAAATGTATGGCTTTTGTTTTTACATGAATCTTTCTAAATAAATTCCTCCCCAATCTCAGAAGACTTTCCTTGTAACAGAGGTTTAAAAATCACTTCATCTGACAGCATATGCAACAATCCACTCCCATAGATTTGCTCCCTTTCCTCCACCTACCTCTCCAAAGAAAGGAGGGAAGTATGTTTTCCTCTGTGTTGTGGCAGCCATTGTGTCTGCTGTTTTCCTGAGGTCTTCTTCCCTAGTGTTTCTTGACTTCCTCGTGCTTTATGTCTTGGGGCACAGTTTGTTTAGCCATTCCCCAGTCAGGGGGCATCCACTTGTTTCTAGTCCTTTACTACCCCAAAAAGTGCTGTTGTGAATATTTTGGAGCATAGAGAAGCTTGTTTTCTGGCTTTGACTTCATTAGATTACATGGCCAGTAGGAGGGTCTCTGTATCAAACAGTATGGATGTTTTAGTTCCTTAGTCATTTTCTTGGACTCCTAATTGGGCCCCTCCTGAGACTTGGGTGGTAGCTTTATGGTCAAAAGGGAAAAGAATACAAACTCTTTTGGAGAGATGGAGGGGTATCATCAAAAGGAGCCTTTGGGGTAGCTCCTAGAAGGGGCAGCTTCACCCAGGATAATGGTAATGAGTCTTTTAATTAATGCAATCTCACAATTAGTTTTAATCACATTCTCTTGCGATGCATATGCCCTCAGGATTTTTACTGTTGAGTGCTTTTATAAATTGGAGTCATAAATAATAGAGGGTACATAACATTTTACCTCTTTACCTGGAATCTCAGATGCCATCGCCCCCAATTTCATTTTTTAATTAAAATCCATAAACAGCAATTCATCCTTGGGACCACAGTTTTAATTCAGAAGTGAATGCTGATCACGCTTTTGTACATGTGGAAGAGCTGAATTCGGGGGAGGGGAAGGGAAAATGGAATAATCCTCAGAATTTCACATTAACATCAGTGAAAGAAATAGTGGTGACAAAGACCTCATGAGGCAGAGAAAAAAGCAGTAAATTGGAAACAGAAGGCACTGGACTCAAATCCTGGCTCTGTTACTGCTTGAATGACCTTGGACAACTCATTAAACCTCTGTGGGCCTCAGTTCCTTCATCTGTAAAATGAGGGGGCTGGCTCGATGGTCCTTTACAGCTCTGAACCTGTGCTACTTTGAGCTGATGTAGCAGAGGGAAGCAGAAAGTCTCCGCTTAGGGAGGCAGCGAGCGTCTATCCGGGACTGAAAAGCTAGGCAGCCTAAGAGCCCCAGCAGTGGGCTTGCCAAGGATGTCTTCAGCTTTTTTCTCACTGTTTTCTGTTGCTCTGACTTCCTGAACACAGGGTTAAGTACACGGTTCCCCTTAGAAGCCAGGAGCTAGATTTCAATTCCCTTTCAGGTAGTGGGAGTGTTGATTTCTAGGTCTGATTGTGCATCTGGAAATATCAGCTGCAAAATCATATTGGAATTTAAGTTCAAGAAAAGGCCAGTTGGTAATCAAAATGTGTGGGTGATTTGGGATTTTTCATGCAAGGTCTGTTCTCATCTTCCAGGCCTCCAGAGGAATGCTTTGTAGTGCTAGAAAGCCCATACATCCCTCCTCTTTGCCGTAGAGGTGGGTAGGAGCTGTTTGTTTTGCTTCCTGCTCATTCACAGGTATCAGGATCACAGCCCTAGCCGTTCTCACCTTCCCCTCCTTCAGAAAATACTGTTCTGCAGTTAGATCAGAGCTAAATAAAGCCAGCCTGACCTTGCCACAGGGAGATCCCCACCCCTATTTCAGCTGTTCAGCTGTATCTAACTGTGACCTACAATGAAACCAGCCATTTCTTAGCCAAAATACCAAAGAGTTTAGGATGGCAGTTAGATGCCTACCCTGAACACTGGCTTAAAAAGGACTCAGGGCAACAGCTAGCAGTGATGAAAAAGGAATTACAGATGATGCTGGAGCCTGAAGGACAGTATTCAGAAAAGATGGGAGAGGGTCTTGGAGGTCAGGAGTCCACCATGACACCTACATTTAAAAATGCTTCTCTGGAATTTTTAGGGAGTCTTTCTCTTATTTTTATAACTCCTTTGCAAGAAGTTTATCTGTTTTCTCTCTGGTAAAGTATATGATATTTTATCCTCCATCCTTTCCCTCTTGAAATCCAAAACTTCTTTACTGAGATCTCCCATACTTCCTCTACAACCCCACCATCTCATGGGAGAACTTGCTTCAAACTTCACTGAAGAAAGTAGCCAGTAGAGGTCATTCTAGGGGAGCTCTCTTGTCTTCCCATGACATCATCTCTCACACTTTCCACCCTTAGTCTTTTCTCCCATAATGAGAGAGGCCAGCCCCTCCACTTGTGTCTTGATCCAGCCCTCTCCTATCTTCTCCAGCATATTGTCTCTTCAGTGAGCCTTTCTCCCTCTAATCTTCATTCTCTCCGTGCCCAATGGTTCCTTCCCAGCCACCTTCAAATGTGAGCTCATATCTCACATCCCTAAACCTTAACTAGATCCTGTTGTCCTGTCAAGCTGTTGTCTTCCAACTCTCCCTTTTCTCAGCCAAACAGCTGGGAAAACACTGTCTATCATGGTTTTCTCCTGTTTCTGTCTTGTTTATTCCACAACCCTTTGCAGTCTGGCTTCTACCTTTATCACTGACCTGAAACTGCTTCTACCAGAGTCAGCAATAATCTCTTACTGCCAAATATAATGGTCTTTTCCTTAGTCTTCTTCATCTTTCTTGACGTCCTTGCAACATTTGATGATATTGACCACTCTTTTTTCCCCTGAGACTCTCTTCCCTGGGTTTTGGTCCCCTGATTTTCCTTGTATTTGTTTTATTATTTCTCAGTTACTACTGGTTCAGCAGTTGTATATAAGGGTGTGATAGCTACACCCTACCTGTGTGTGTCCCCCAAGACTTGTCCTGGTCCTTTTTATGTCTACATTCTGTCATTTGGTGACCTCATTTGAGCTTCTGTGGCTTTAATTATCCCTAGATAGACAATGCCCAAATCGGTGTACTCAGGCCCAGTCTCTTTCCTGAGTGCCAGTACTTCATCGCCAATTGCCTGTTACTCATTTCAAACTGATCTCATGGAAACCTAATTCAGGAAGTCCTAATAGAAATTTTCTTCCCTCATCCTCACTTCTCTTTTGAACTTAACTATTAATGTAGAGGTTTCCACCAGCCTTCTAGTTTCTCAAGTTTGCAACCTCAGTGATAGCTTCAACTCCTCACCCCACATGTCTAATTAGTTTCCAGATCTTGCTGATTCTGTCTCTGTAACATCTCTCATATTTGACACCTTATTACTCACCCAGCTGCTACCTTAGTTCAGGTTTGCATCACTTCTTGCCTCAGCTATTACAGTAGTTTCCTCATTGGCCCCTGGGCTACTAGCCATACAGTGATTTTCCTTAAGCATGGGTCACTTCCATGTCATGTCCCTACTAAATAAATTTCAGTGCCTTTCTTTTGCTTCTAGGATCAAATATAGACCTCCAGTCTCATGTTTCCAAGTGCCTATTAGTTGGATTGGTCGAATTGGATGTCCTGTAGTCATATGAAACTCAACTTATGTAAACTGGATTCATCTTTTCCCCAGAACCCTCCCTCTGCTTAACTTTCCCTATTATGGTCGAGGGTGCTACCATCCTGCCAGTTACCCAGGCCTGCAACCTAGGTTTCATCTTCAACTCTTCACTCTCACTCAGTCTCCAGTTAGTTGTCAAGTGGTCTTGTTTTCTGCTTTAAATAACTTCTCTAGAATATATCCCCTTCTCTCCTCTGCCACTGCCATCACTGTAGTGCGCGCTGTCAGCATCTCACACCTGGACTGATGCTACATGTAGCATGCTGTTGGTCTTCTGACATTGTCTCCGTTCCAAACCATCTTCCACTCAGTTGTCAAATTGATCTTCCTATAAAATGCAGTTCTGACCATATTACTCACACACATGCATTCAGCAAACTCCAGTGGTTGACTGTTATCTCCAAGATCAAATACAAAATCCTCTGTTTGGCTTTTAGAGTCCCTTATAATCTGACCCTTTTATATCCTCCACGTTCTCTGAAATCCAGCGATACTGGCCTCTTTCATCTTAAAAGGACACTTCAAGTCTCACCTTCTTAAAGAGGCCTTTCCTCGTCCTCCTTAATCTTAGTACCTTCCCTTTGAGAGACTCCGTCCACCGCCCGCCGCCCCCCCCTTAGCCTGTATATATTTTATTTATACATAGTTGTTTGTGTATTGTTTTCCCCATTAGACCGTGAGGTATTTGAGAACAGGGACTGGGGGTTTTTTTCCCCTTTTTTGTTATCTCCATTACATAAAACATACTTGATCCTACAAAGTACTCTTCCTTGTTTACTTTGGGATCAAAACACCCTCTTCATAATGCCTGGGACTAGAGTGTCCCTGAGTTCCATTGCTCTGTTTCCTGTCTCCTGAGATTATTAACCATTGCTCCTGAAAGTTCTAGAATGGATTGCATGTTCTCAGGTCCTGATTGGCCATTTGCTCTTGAGATTCAGATAGAGACAGGAGGAAAAGGTGGTTGGTTTGCTGTTCCATTCTCCCACTTATTTTCCCCATGACAGAGACTTTGAGCATCTCTACTCCATCGAGCTGCCAGGGAAACAGTTGGACTTTCTGTCTTTCCAGTCACCGCCAGATGTAAAAAGCCAAGTTTCTCTTTCCAGGTTCTATAGTGGCATTCCCTGGGAGGCATGTGATCTGTAGTTCATTTTGATAGTTCCTGTCTTAAAACTCAGCTTGAGCAGTCTTTTACAAAGCGACTTTGGCTGCTAATTGTCCCAAACATTGCGGAGAGCCTTTTCATAAAATTGATTTTCCTTCTCAGGAAATATTGGGGGGGAGGGGGTGTGGGAGTTGCTTCAGATTCCTGCCATTTTAACCTTTGGCCTTTGCCAGCGTTTCCCTGATTTTCTGGCTTTGTTGTTGTTAGTGCTTCTATCTTAGGAGTCAGCTTGACTTTCAGTGTGGAAGGAGCCTGTATCTTTGCCAAGGGTGCCCCTACAGGAGGAAATTTGAGCTAAGGACAGGCAGGCTGGGATTCGGCCTTATACTCTGTGGAGGTGTCAGCTACCTTATCAGTTTGTCCAGGTGGCTAAAGGCAGACTTCCAGGTCTGAACAGGGATACAGGTGAGATAAGCGTGTTGCCTTATTCTGAGTACCAGGAGGTCTCTTTGCCCTGAAAGGCCATTTTCAAATATGGGCCAGACAAGTGGGATGAGGGAATCCCCAGATTCGGTTTACTTATTTGTGAACAAAGCTGGGCCTTCTCCTACTTATCTAAAAGTTGTTTGGCTTTTGAAGGTCACAAGTGGTCAGGAGGTGGCCTTGGGGAAACACTTCATTTCCTGACTCCGAGAAGCTTTTGACACTCTCCCTGATGCTGCAGATAATTTGAGACAGGATAGTAAAGCTGGGGTTCTCCCCAGCACCTTGTTCTACCTTTTTGGGGGGGAAAAGTCTCCTTAGTCCATTGAGATTGACCACAAGGAGACAGTGTTGTTTACCACTCTGGCCTATGACTTAGATGCCAGAATTTTTTCATCCTTCTCTGGCAGCATGAGGAGCCCCTATCCAAAATAACCAAGAGGTTCCAGAATTGGGAACTCATTCTTTAGTTGGGGCAGGTGAGAGGAAGCACAAATGCCAGATGGTCCCATTGGTGGATGAGGAGGTCTGAGGACAATTTGCCTCCAGAAGGAGTGATAGTTGTCACCTAACCATGTGAACAGGTAGTAATTTTCCACTGTTGAGCACACAGCTGGACTAGTTGAAATGTCTCTTTTGCCATAGTAACATTTGAGGGCCAACTTGCTCCTGCAGTTAGATAAATGGTAGGTAAATTTTTAATCAGCATACTGCTAATTAAATTGCATATTTGGAAAATCCTGGAGCTTGGGCATGCAACCTAGGAGTGAATATGGCCCAGCCTCTCCCAGGGACTTGCTAATATTTGTTGCCTTCTGTATCCTGACCATGTTTTCTTTTCTTATAGTGTGAGTGACTGCCCCATGTTATGTTGATGCTGGTCTGCCATGCTAGCCTGTCTGCCTGGGCCAAGTGACCTGTCCTTTCAGCTTCTCTCTCACACGCAGATGAACACTGGACTTCAGAAATGTAAGTTGTGTGGGCAGAACTGGACAGGGCTCCTCATACAGGCTTGAGGCAGAACTGAAAGCCAAATCTCCCCCAGATATTTAACCTAGGTTGTCAGTAACAGTGAGGAAACAGCTGCCAAGCATGAGGGACACACTGTAGGTTTCAGTGAGATCCACTGTGATGGAAAAATTTTCCAGACCTTATTTATTCCACTTGGTACCTTCCATGGCGGCTGTTTTTATGGGGCATCTGGGTGATGGAATGGATAGCATGCCAGGCCTAAGGCGGGAAGATCCAACTTCCTGAGTTCACATCTGGCCTCAGACACTTACTCGGTGTGTGACCTTGGGCAAGTCACTTAACCCTGCTTGCCTCAGTTTCCTCATCTGTAAAATGAGCTGGCAAACCACTCCAGTGTCTTTGCCATGAAAACCCCAAATGGGGTCATGAAGAATCAGCCAAGCTAGGTGGAAGTAGAGGGTGCAAATGAGGGTGCCTGTAGACCTCACCTGTGCTGGTGGCTTGTGCAGATGCTGATCCAGGAACTCCTTTCCCTTGGCCTTGCTCATTATGAGTCGGGGGTTAAAGCCATGGGGACATAGAAAGCAGAGTGTCCAGCATACTCATTTGGACACTTACAGCCCTTTCTGAGGCTGGCAGGCCACTGATTTTGGGCCTGGTGACTCCAAGGGGCACTGCCTGAGTTGTGTATACTTGAGGACAGGGTTGAGGTGCTCCAAACGAGAGGACCTCTAGTGAGGTTTCATTGTTCCCCCACACAGCCTGTTTTAGTTGTGGATATCTCTGATCGTTACTTTGTCCTTGTATGCAAAAGGATCAGCTTCATCTGTGCCAGTCTGTGGGAAAACTCTCCAGTCTCTGTGAGTTTTGTCAGAGGAACCTTTCCTCTTCCAGAAACAAATTAAATTGATCTCAGGCCAGCCAGCTACTGGTTAACCACATTGCAAAACCTGTGTGTGGTTAATGAAATTAGCTCTTGTTCCATGGTGGGACGGAAGTTACAGATCTTCATTTTGTAGTTTTGTGACATAGTGAAACAAGATTTGGCACACCAGCTTTCCCCCCAACCTATCTCTTTGAGACACAGTGATAGTTAAATGGGAAAAGGGTCTTGATTCCTATCATCCTTGCCTGAAAGGATAACTAACCCCCAAGTGAAGACCTCCAAGGAGGAAGAACCCTACCACCTTGTGGTGGAAGGTCTTGTTTCTCTTTTGGACACTCAGATGGTTAGAAAGTTTCTCCAGACATTAAACCAAAATTTACTTCCTTTAGTTGTTTCTTGCTCAGTCCTTTAGGGCCAAATAAGAGAGGTCAAATCTCTCTTCCATATATAATTGCCCTTCATATACTTAAAGACAACTCTTAACATCTCCCCCAGAGACTTCTTCAGCCTAACCACGTCAAGTTCCTTCAACTAATTTTCATGGGACCTGGGACTCAGGGCCCCTCACCGTCCTGATTGCCTCCAGCCTCTCAAGTGCCTTTATACTGTGATTCCCAAACCTCTCTGGACCTCACCCAGCAAAAGGGAACATCCCTTCACTTCTCCTGGAATCTGTGCCGTTCTTAATGCATCTCAAGATTTCTTTGCCTGCCTCATCTGCTGCTGACTCATTGAGTTTTAACTCCCCTAAAAATCTCCTGGTCTCTAGCTGACAAGCTACTATCTGACTGTGTTTCCCTAACTTTGTAACTGTGGAATCTTTCCTCAGTATCCTTCCCTTTTCCCCTTCCAGAGAGCCATCCAATAGAAAGACAAAAAAGAAAAAGAAAAAATCACATTACCCTGAAAAAATCTGAAAATCTGTGCAGTGTACAACACTCGTGGACCTCTCTCCTCTGAAAAGGAGTGTGTGTATGTGGGGGGTCTCCTCATACTTCTTTCAGGCTATGCTTGTTCTTAACACTTAGCAGCGTTCACTTTTTCTTTTTATTTGCTTATGGCTCTTCTTGTTTACTTTGTTGTAGTCATCTTTTTTTTTCCTGCTTCTTCTTACTTCTCTCTGCATCACTTCATGTAACTGCCTACCTATGCTTCTCTGTGTTTGTCACGTTTGCCCTTTCTGATGGCACAGTAATGTTCTATTACATTCACGTACAACCAATTGTTTAGTCTTCTTCAGTTGATGGACATCGACCTTGTTTCTACTTCTTTACTTTCACAAAAAGTGTTGCTAGAAATATGCTGGTGTATATATAAGCTTTCTTGTTGTTGATGGGACATAAGCCTAATAATGGAGTCTCTGGGTCAAAGGGTGTGGCCATCTTAGCGGATCAGATGTCACATTCACCCTCCTTGAATGCTGTCAGACCATGGTGCTACGGTGTTACAGGCGTTGGCTCCTGACTCTGCCATTAGCCATCTCTTAGCTTCGTGTCATCCTCTCATTTGATGAGTCCTCCGTCTACGCTTTGATTATCCAAGTCACTGAAGTACAATGTTCCAGCACACAGGACCTTCGGTTAAATTTTCAGATGGCTATAATTCTATTTGACCTGTTACAAATCCACTTAATTGTGTAATTGTGTAGTCCACCCTTTTCCATCTTTTGCACAAAAATAAGATATGTGATCAAATGCTGTGCTAAAATTTTGGTTTTATAGGTCAAATTCTCCGGATCCACTAGCTCACTGGCCCTTTCAAGTGTAAATCAGGTTCCATTTGGCCAGAGTAGCCCTTTGTAATGAATCACCACTTCCTTTTTTTTTTTTTTTAAAGGGAAGGGAGTAAGCGTTTTATAGCCTCTGCTGCGTCCTAATTTCTGGGCTGAGTGCATTGCAGGCACTATCTTATTTGGTCTCCACTGCCCTGTAAGTTGGGGGCTGCTCATATCACCATTTTGCAGTTGAGGAAACTTAAGACAGATTGAGATGACATGAGTTGCCCAGGGTTCCACATCTAGTGGTATCTGGAGACATCTGAATGTTTAGTGATCATCTACAATTAATGATCCTTTCTAGGATTTTACCAGGCATTGAAGTAGAGTTCACCAACGTATTGTTTACAGACTCTGTTCTTTTTCCTTTTTGGAAAATCAAGACATTGGCCCCTCTCCAGGCCTGTACTCTCAGGTTTCCTGGGATCTTTCAGGTATCATGATAACTCAGCATTCACATCTGCAGTTCTTTTTCAGGACCTGTTGCCTGTGGATCCTTTCTGGGCTGATTTCCCTTGTGGAATTTTAGTCCGTGCATGGGATCCTACTCACAGGTCTGTGAACCCTTTAAAATCTTTCCCCCAAAATTTAGAGTGTATTTCAGAGAATTCCCACTTTCTTCTTCTCTATCACAAAATCAAGGAGTGAATAGTCACTTGGCCCCAATGTGTTCATCATTTTCTGCACCAGATATTTGTTCTTCCCTGTTCATGAAAATCAGATCTAGTATGTATTTTGCCCTTGTTGGTTTCTCTGTCTTTTGAAAGACAAAAGTCTTCTTAGATCAAATCTGGGTTTGTCTAGATGTCTGATCATTTCAAGTCTTCATCATTTACTATATTCTACCAGTCTTGTTATCTGTTTCCTTAACTTGCTTATTTCTACTTTCTGCTCAGTGGTCTGGAATATCCTTTTGACAAAAATGTTTTCTTTTTAACCCTTCTCCAGTCTGCACCTGAACACTCTGTCATGCCCTGCCTCCTCCCACTCCCTTTCCTGGATTTTCCAATGTTGAGTAGACTGTTACACTGACAAAACTCTCCCACCCTGTTTACTGTTCTCTTTCTTCTGAAACCGACACCTTTTCAGAGCTGTATGCCAGTAGTGGGTTTTATCCCACCAAGTCTCAGTGATACTTAGGAGGTCAAACTTTCCTCTTTTTGTTAGTACCTTCAAGTCCTCTTGCCTATTTAAAGTGAAGTCATGGACTTTACTACTTATGACTTCTTTGGATTTTGTCTCCTGTGACCTTTCTTTTATTATAGCTACTCTCTATGGTATCTAGCTTTGGGGATGTACATAGACAGGCTTCTTCTTTCCTTCCACCTTAAAGCTGCTCCCTTCTTCTTCTCCTTAATTAGATTTACAAAATGCCAGGCAACCACATTCTTATCATCCTTTGTGAAGGTAGGGAATATGTCATCTTTAAGCCACGGTCCAGAAGTCCAAATCATGTTCTCAAAATATACCTTCTGTTTCACAGAACTTTAGGGCCAACTGTTCACTTCTCAAATTAATTTTTCTCTTCTTTATCTCTTGACTTCAGTGGCCATCAGTAAGGAAAAATGTAACCTATGCTTTTTTTCTCCACTACTTAATAGTATTTTATTTTTTCCAATTACATGCAAAGATAGTTTTCGGCATTCCCTTTTACCAAGATTTTGAGTTCCAGTTCTTTTTCTGTCTCCCCTCCCCAAGATGGCATGCGATCTGATATAGGCTGTACGTGTACAATCATATTAAACATATTTCTACATTAGTCATGTTATGAAAGAAGAATCAGAACAAAAGGGAAGAACTGTGAGAAAGAAAAAAAAAGAGAGAGAAAATAATTTGCTTTGGTCTGCATTCAGACTCCATACATAGTTCTTTCTCTGGATGTGGATAGCATTTTCCATCATGAGTCTTTTGGAGATGTCTTAGATCCTTGCATTGCTGAGAAGAGCTAAGTCTGTCAAAGTTGGTTATCCCACAGTGTTTCTGGTATTGTATATAATCTCTTCCTGATTCTGCTCACTTCACTCAGCATCAGTTCATGTAAATCTTTCCAGGTTTTTCTGAAACCTGCTTGCTCATCATTTCTTATAGAACAGTAGTATTTATTCCATTACATTCATATACCACAACTTGTTTAGCCAGTCCCCAGTTGATGGGTATCCCCTCAAATTTTCAATTCTTTGCCACCACGAAAAGAGCTGCTATAAATATTTTTGTACATGTGGGTCCTTTTCCCATTTTTGTGATCTCTTTCAGATACAGACCTACAAGTGGTATTGCTGGGTCAAAGGGTATGCAGTTTTATTGCCCTTTGGGCAGAGTTCCAAATTGCTCTCCAGA